AGTATACATTCATAAAATAACCCTTATCGCCCTGTCAGAATTTAAGAATAGAGGTTATTTGTTTTGCAACCGTAATGAAATTTTGATGAAACTTTTAAAAAACTGTGTTGTCTGCTAGGATCGTGAACTAAGAATGAAGGAATCAAGACCTTTGAATAAGTTCTTATCACAATATATAAACAGTATTTCTAACTAAGATAAAGTAGCAAATGATATTAGAACATCACCTTTAAAAGCAAATGGTCAATTAACATTGAAGTAAATATCAATGGCTAATATTTAATGCCCTCCAAAATTCCTTTGTATAGTGGAAATGCATTCATGAAAGTCACATCTCAGCCCGCCGTGCCTCTCTACTTCCCTGTCCCGTCTCTTCCTGCCAGCCAGGGTACCAGGGTCTGTGTGGGAGTGATTGTGCAGCGCAACTGTTGGAATTTGGCAGTGTTCGTGGGTTGGAGAGTCGCCCCACGCTGAGTCCCTTTCAGAGGCCATGCTGGGCACTGTGAGGTTGGGAAGTTTCAGTCAGCCGTATACAGCTCAATGGACCCCACAAAGGCGATTACAAGCCCCAGCGCATTCTTGTAGAGATGTGGGAGCAGTGCAGGTGTAAGGGGGGGTGGAGGATGGGGTTTGGTGTAAGGGGGTACCCATCAGAGAAGAGATGAAAATGGGACGGACCTGAGACAACACAAAGCCAACTGCTTCTAAGGAACCAGGGTGAGAGAGCAGATAATAAGTGTGTACAAGATGTGATTCAAGAGGATTCAGTGTAGCACATTAAGACATTACTGATTATTGAAAAAGAGAGTTACTGATGTCCTAGTAAACTTTTCCACTTTGACACCACTCTGAAGCATTGTTGTAGACCCTTAAAGAGTTCAAAGTATCTGGCAAAAGTATTAACACCCCTTAAGATCCTGTTTTTTTTTTTTTATAAACAGTAGATTGTTTGAAATATATTTTCAGTTATTTTGGTTTCATTTCTATGGCCTAACCCAGACCCAAATCCTAACCATTACCAATGCATACTTAACCCTAAACCTAACCTCCAACAAGATAACTTTTCTTAATGGAGACCAGCCATTGGTCCCAACAAGTACCTGTAAGTGGCCATAAACGTAAATATTTCAGTACCCCATTGCTCTTTGTCCTGGGGGTTACAGTTCTGGGTTTCCAATGGCTATTGGCCTCAGTGCAGGGTTGATGGCTGCTCTAAGCTAATGCTTTGTGTCTGGCAGCCTTGGATTGATGCAGCCTTCCAGAATCTAGCTGCTTTTAGCTGCAGTTTATACTTTGGATGGTGAGCCCTTTATCTCCACACGTACAAACCTCAAGGGTATGATCTTGGGTTGACATCAAGTCTATCACACATTTGATCCCATACATGATGTTCACCAGAGGTGTCAAGTAACGAAGTACAAATGCTTTGTTACTGTACTTAAGAACACTTGTTAGGTATCTATACTTCACTATATTTCTTATTTTTCTTCCTGCTTCTGACTTCTACTCATTATATTTTCACACAAGTATCTGTACTTTCTGATCCTAACATTTTTAAAACAAAAGTTACTTATTACTTCAGTTTAATGTTTATAAATATTTATTTCACATCATGTGCGCCATCCGATGCAGATCATTGGCGCCATCCACATCAAGTGAAAACTAGTGTAATTGGAAATGTCTGAAAGGTCGGACACAGGCGTGAGCCTATCAGGAGATGGAGACGGAGAACAACAAAACCTCCCTCATCCTTGGCCCTATCTCAAAGAATTTTTCGAAATAGTTGAAAAATTGAGCTTTCAATTCATATAGTGGCATCTGGCTGTTTTTTTTAACGGTTACTTTATACTTTTATACTTTAAGTAGTTTTTGGAGCAAATACTTTTTCACTTTTACTTGAGTAAAGAGGTCAAGTTGATACTTCAACTTTTACCAGAGTGTTTTTAAACTGCATTATCTATACTTCTACCTAAGAAACAAATGTGAGTACTTTTGACACCACGGATGATCACCCATTCACACACATGCAAATTACAACTACAACTACTCACCAGCACACAATCACCCCAAACGTTTAAAGTGCATACCGACATAGATTACTATAACGATATTGCGGTCCTGTGGTTTTAAACACAATTGGGATTCTGTCTTGAAATATTTGTAGAGCACATGTGGCCTGAAGGAAACCACCTGCTCCATATGGTATGCCCTAAATGCCACTACATGTAAAAAAAAAAAAAAAAAAAAAAAAAAAAAAAAAAAAAAAAAAACATTATCAATCAACATATTTGGAATCAAGTTAGTTTGCATAATGATATAGGCCTCTTTAAAAAAAAANACCCCTTGACCAACTGCAATTCCTAAGCATTAGAGAAGTTTGTTTATATCTGATGTGGTCTATTTCACATCAAAGGACTGTTGGAGACATGCAAAAAAGTGCAATTTTAGTACAAAATGATGCACAAATCTAAACACATTCTGATGATTTATTAACCAAAATTAGAGCATTAAGCTGAAATAATCTTTAACCACATTTCCCTGAACACAGATTTATAATGCTGTGCAAATCTATCAAGATTTTTAGGCACTTCTATCAGTGAAGCATATGTTTTTTAATATGACATTCACATGGGATGTTGATGATGTTTTAAAGACGCTTTGACAGTTTGCACGGTCCCTGAATGCAACAACTGGGAATAGGTTGCTCAGCTGCTGTGTTGAGCTGTTAGTCATGATTCCACACCCTATTATCTGAGGTCCCGCCCCCCCACGCCAAAACAGAGCCACATGTTTAAGTAAAAAAGTTTTTAACAAATCTAAAAGTTTGAGAAAAACATAAACTTGAATCTGAAAAGTCGTTTTTCTTTTGTAAAAAAAATAAAAAATAAAAAATAAAAATAAATAAATAAATAAAAATCTATTTGACAGGTTTCATTTATTTTTTATTATGACCAAACTTTTTTCAGGCTGAATTTCTTTTTTTTTTCTTCTTTTTTCTAGCAAACTTTATCACCCCAATTCCATAGTTAAAAACCTTCCATGTTTAGTTTTTCTTTCAAAGTGGTAGCAGCTAGGAGGGCCTTGGAAAATTGGGAGAATAAATAACAAAAATATGCAAAATAATTGCAGAAAAACATTTTTTTTTATCATCATGGCTTATAAAGTTTTCTGCTATTATTATACAATAGCTACAGCATATTTAGGTGAAAAATGTGGATTTAAAACTGAACTTCTAGGCTCTGTCCAGCCTGCCTGTCCAGCAGTTCCAAAACGAGTACTCTGTCCAGCAACAGTATGAGCACACCATGGCTGACAGGGCCCTGAAATGCCCTTCCCCCTTCCAAATAACATACTTGTGTCAGTCTGGCTTTTCTACATTTAAAGGTGCTCAAAACAAAACATAGAGCAAGTGGACAACAACGTGTGTATGGCACTTACAGACATTAAGCCCATCCCCTCCACTACTCACACACACAAAATTACAGAGGTTTCATTTCTGTAGTTCTGCCCTTATTGTAATATAATATATTTGGAAAGTTTTTTTATTAAATAGGAAGGTAATATAGGGTTTGAAAAGATGTTATTAAATACTCTTATGTTAAACAAACATAACAAAAGTAAAAACGAAAATCTGAGAGTTTTTACTGAGATTTTTCTTTTAATTTTTTGTAATACTTTTTTGTTTTTTTTGGAAAAGGAGGTCCCTGGCCAGAAGCTATTGCTGTTTAGGGGCAGTGATTATGAAAAGTTTGGAAACCCCTATCATAAAGCACAGATGACCTCTTTTAATCACCACCAGCTCCCAAAATGAGATCTGAACTCCACCCAAGTTTTTTGGGCAGCCCTGAGGGATTGCATGCAGTCTCTAAGCAACTACTGGTTCAGCATACGTAGCAGCGCATTTATAGGCTTCACTTAATAAAAAAATGTCCATAATGGAAGAATGATTGAGTGTCCAGCCAATGATTAATATTAACAACAAATATGACTATCAGATTCATGTCATCAAAACTTAACAGTTAGATAAGCAGATTTTAAGGGGTGAGGGGAATGTGGGTAAATGTAGTTTACCTTTTTTAAAGCAAAAGTCCGGTCAGCAAGGAATAATCAATGGATCATTATTTATACCTAAAATGAATACGTTTGCAGTGATTTAATGAATTTAGTGTTTAATCAGTAAAAAAATAAAAACAATAATTTTTGTCACAATGACTGAGTACTGGACAGGCCATTTTTGCCCGAATATAGTAAAACCTCACTCTTGACATCTTCCAGCAGTGACCTCACGGTGCGGTAAACTGAAGGCCATTCACCCCGCTTTACAAGCAAAATCAATGCGAACTACTAAACACATCTGCAGTCAACATCAATTATTTAAGATTTCGAGAGGACTTCAACATTGAAATTCACAAGAGCTATAGATAAACTGACAATGCCCACGTTCATGGCAGCTGGATGTTGGAATACATCGGGTAAAAGTGAAAAAAAAACTTAGTTTCATTGTTTGATAGCCAATTTGAAGAGAGAGGATTTTCCATCAAAATCTGGCCAGAGAAAAAACACGTCTTATTTAGCCAACATTTTGAAGAAGATTGTTTTCAAGATGACTTGGATAATAGCGCGTAGTGACAAACACCAGACACAGCACTGGGACTTGTTCAACAGCCGATACCGCACCGTGACGTCACAAACTGGTAGGTGGCAGTAGTGCTCTTTGACAAACATTGATGTCTCCAGTAAACCACATTCAAATGAAAATTACTCTTAATTAAATCCCTATCATTTATTGAACAGCATGTAATAATTTCATATTTAAAGTACTTTCAGAAGTTTGAATTCTGAATGTGACCAGACTTTTACTAGAGCTTTTGCATATAGAAGAATACATTTACATTGTTCTAAGTTCTAACTATTGTTTTGATCATACACCTGCTATGTAGATAATCTCTCTTTTCAAAACAGTCTTTTTTGACTTGGTCACCACTCTATTTTAAATCCAGGTGAGAGGAACCACCCAGATGTCCAGATTGTGCCACTACAACAACGGCTTCCACGCCTCACATGACCAACCCAGAAAAGAAGAACCACTGCTGAATCTGTCAACCCCACAGACAGAGTGGGCTGAGAACTGATGAAAGCCAAAGCAGAGGGTCACCTTGGTTTCAACAAACTAAACAGCTGTTTGACCCAAGTCCAGGTACTGGATTTGTCTTGTTTTAGCCCTGTTATCTGTGTGTAACCCTTTTTGCTTTTGAGCTTGATTTTCAACTTGATATGTTTCAAAAAAGGAATTCATTCTGCAGAAGAAAAAAGAAGTTGTGCCATAAGAGAGCAACACAAATTTGTCATAAGAATGAGAAGTGCCATAAATCAAAATGTTCTGCTACGTGCAAAACTGTACCTCTTCACCCCATCCCACCATTGGGCTTTGCCTTAATGTTGTGCCAGTTTCAGTCGGAATGTGGAACTCCCTAATTCTTTGCGTCATGTCCTCCCTTTCATTATTTCTGTCAGATTTATCATTTAATGCCTTCTTTTAAAAAAGAAACTTTGATAAAGACACGAGGAATAAACAAACTGATGTCATATATGCAGCCTAGGAACACCTCTACTGTGATTCCACTAATTTTAATGACACTTGTAAAAGAGCCAAAATCCGGATTAATATTTTTTTTCCTTTAGATCAAAGTGTCTTAATAAAACAGGCATCATATAAAGTGGTACATGATTAAATATTTTCCTTTTTCTAACGCAAACTAAAACATTGGCTTAGGATTTGTAATCTCATGCTCTTAAATCTTGTAGGTCAAGACAATACCAACAGCTGGGCCAACTTGACTTGCCTTGCCCCTGGACAAGATAATGTACTGTCACTAGTAAAAAATGAACTAATATTTACTGTTGAAGACATGATTGATGCTGCATTCTATCTTCTTTTTTATTTTCTCATTTGAGCTAATTACATTCTCTGTAATGATCTCAGTACTGATGCTGGGCTGATCAATCACTCCATACACCTGCCCAGCTCCATCCTTTCCGCAATCAGGTTTCACTGGATCCATCTGTGTGCACCACTATAAACCAACCCTCAGACCAGTCATCAGGGCCAGATTATCTTGAGCCATACCAGTAAGACTAATCCACCGTTCATCCAGCGTTGCCTTCCTGTCTGTTACCTGACTTGTTAATGAGCCTGCCTGATCTGATCTGTACTGCCTCTGGACTTCCTAATCTGCCTGACCGCTGAGCTCCAGCCCTGCACACCAAACACTTTTCTGAAATAAAATGCATTCAAACATCACTGCCCTCTCTTGGTTGAATTTTGGGTCCAACCACTGTTCCTCACAGTATAATCTGGACAAACATGGACCCATAACCAGACGGTTAATGTCAGGCTGGCATGAAAATATCCATTTCCCAATTGGAGACTGGCATTGCTGAGATTTTAACTCATCTCCACAGCCAGGCTTCTCTGGCCGCATCTTTTCTGTAAGCATCAGCCCCAGTCACCATGTCATGCTAAGTGACAACGACATTTCCTAAACTGCGCCTTACCTCCCCCGAGCTCTCTCGGTGTGATTAGAGTTCCCACTGAGTACCACTGTCTGAAGTAGGTTTTAAGGCCCCGTCCACACGAAGTCAAAACGAACACGAAACGCTGATATTTTCCAAAACGTTTGCCGTAAAGACGGAGACGTAAAATAAATGTGAGCGTCCACACGAATGCATGAAAACGCTGCAAAATG